TGAATTCTAATTTAATAAGAACTACATTTTATTTCTTCTATTAACCTTTAAAAGAACGAAAACAAAGCACAAGGCATAATTTTCTGATTCAAAAAAAATAATTTTTTATCCAGACCATGAAAAAAAATTTGAGTAGGGGCAAATTTTGTGAGTCGGTCGCGTTACTGCAAACAAACATTTTTTTAAGGATGGCCTTACCAGTAAATTTTGAAACAGTTTTCGGTACGGTCTTAATAGCATATACCGGTTATTGGTATCCAACCCTACTTTGTAACATATTTTTTTGGTTCTGAAATTTATTATTTCATTCATACAAATCATTTGTTAACAACAAAAATACGTCTTTAATACATTATATAAAAAATAAATCTAATTTTCGTGACTAACATACAGCTTGAACTTTTGGCTAGCCGTACGGGCCTGTTATAAGATTCTTATCCCTGCGGTGGAACACAGACACTTAGAGTATGGACCCCGCCCTTCTCCGCCCCTGAATATTAAAAACTTAAAGTATTGTTTATTACAAGAATTAGTTTTAAATTTGTGCTTATATTAGTATGAGACGGTTAAGTGTCTAACACATGAACAAGTTTGAAGAGAATTTCATAACGTTTTAAAAAAGTCATTTTTTTTACCAACGCTTCAATTTCCTGAAGATACCAAGCTTCGAAATGTAAACACAACTGACCTACATATATTTCAGGTATTTATGTTATCGCATGCCATTTATTTCTGGTGTAAATCAGTCGATGCATATATTTCTTTAATAAATAAATGCATGTTATTATCAGATCGTACCTTTCTTCCAAGCTTTGCACATTTAAGTATATTTTCCTAACTGTGTCACATGCTTCTTTACGAATTCATGACCACTGGAATGTTTCCCGTAAATTACAGCGGGAAAATCGCTGGGAAAAAGAAATTCAATCGCAACTACTCGGCCCTTTCCGTCAGTCTTCTTGATTTGGTTTCTGTACTGATTAGGGGAAGTAACTGCTGCGGGGGTTTGGTTCTTGACATGAAAATGAAAGCGCAAAACAGTGCCGAAACTCATTCCAGTCGTCTCACATCAAAGGAAAGCGTACGTTGTTATCTTTATGAAATTATGATATCCTAGGGACTTTTTTAAAAGTGGTTAAAATAGCGGAAAACAAGTTTTATGTTCAAGACATGTGACCAGGTCGTAATAATATGCAAATATAATTTGACATACGGTTTGCACGATAAAAATAGGCATGGTGTATACAAGTGCGGATCAAGAAGGGGAGCCAAGCACATAACCGCAAGTGTCTGTGCGGTGGAATGCAGCTTTGAGCTAGGGTCTCACAGCCATATTTGTAGTAAGGGGCTAAAGACAATTCTTAATGCTGTTATATCATTTTCAAAAGAAGACCGAATTAATGATCATTTATTTACAAACTTGTTAATATAAATTCTCACGACAATTTTTGTTGGGAGACGGGAAAAATAAAAAAAAATTGATGGGTGACCCTGTCATAATTTTATATATGACCTGACAGTCTTTGCTAACAATGTTACTGGGCTGATCTGAAAAAAGTCAAACAACTTCATTTCAATTCAGCTTACAATTTCAAATTATCTGAGCGTAAAGTACAATAAAACACACCTTTTTAAATTATTTTGATTTTCTTCCACTTCCGCTAAAGAAATTGGTATAGTCTAATATTTTATCGAAAACAATTATGTTATTGTTGTCGTCTGAATTTATCGTTGTCGTCCGAGTCAATAATTGAAATTACTACAGTAGGTCTAAGCCTAGAGCATGTAGAGTACATTATAACTTTTTTCTTGTCATTTTTCAAATATTTATTCTAGTAGGCCTACGTTTTTTTTATGTAATATTGCAATTAGTCTCTCTATGTCAAAAAAAATAAAATCAGAACTATCCCCCCGACCGATTTTATAAACTGTCGGTCTTCAAGGGTGAATGGCGACCATGGTCTATATAACAAAAAGCCCTGTCGCACACTTTGTTCAAGCTGGGACATATATCCCAGGCTCAAGACTAATAAATACCCAAGTTCTCAAGTTTAATAAACGTTATTGAAAAGTTATATGAAAGTCATGAGGTTATAATTATGCACGAGATATGATAAAGTTTGACTTTCAAGTTATACATGTATAAGTTTAATAAGCCATGATTTAACATAACTTGACAAAGACAAACAGGTTCTATATAACTTATGACATGAAATACTTCACGAATTAATTCACATGTACGTTTTGATCTTAGGCCTTACTTGTATAAACTATATTTGATAGATTTCTAAATGGGATTTCACTATATTATTTCTTGGTTTTTAATGATTTCCAAATCCTGTAACTATCTTTCGAGCAAGTACACACCATGCGGAAAAAAATCTCACAATCGATTATTTTTACGTTTTACGATAAGTGATTAAATTACGAGCGACATAATAAGTTAATTACAGAGTTTCACTTTGCTCCAGTTTCCCCTACTGTACACGTAATACCGAAAACGTGTTAAAAATATGGATCTTAAACGTCATAGTGAAAGATTTTCTATTTGAAAGCCATTTTTGCTATAACCTTTATAGACTTTCATGAATATCAGCCCTATCAATCAATAAATAAATGTAGAAAAGGACATTTAGATATCAATGTTGAAAATAACATTTAAGTATCAATGTAGAAAAAAACTCAAAACATTTAGAAAGAAAGAAACAAACTAGTGTATTTCAATTCACATTTAACAATTATCTTGTTTTTTTTTACATATGTTAATATGATACAAAATTACAAGTGCAATTATGCATTTATGTATAAAAAGGGTGTTTTACAAATAAAATCAAAAGGAAAATAGGTTACATGCAACTATACATCTTCATCAGGCTTAGAAAAAATTAGAACACATATGATTGCTAAAGTCAGCACATTTGATTTTTAAAAGTTCGATAATATTTTTAAAATTTCAATACGTTGTGCAATACTGATACATGTATAGGCTAATTTTGCTGATTCCTACAACTTCTGTTAAAAATAGAAATTGCGTTTAAACTGTTTACCTGTCTTCTGTTACAAGAGATTGGCACTAGTACACAATCCGGGTACAAGATATATCTGTAATCGATAAGTTGAATGTATATATAAACACTTACAAACAGCAACTGTCATTGCAGGATACACTAAACGTCGAGCAAGACGATGTTTAATGCCAGGGTGTACCCAGGTTAGCCGCTTACTTCGAAACTATGCGAACTAACCATGGCTTCTCTTATAAGGGGTCTGGTTCTTTTCTTTGAATCAGGCCCCTTGAGGGTCTGCGGACTCTCATGCATTCGGGCAGTGAATTACGCCCAACATCATTTATGATTTGAATGTCTGTGTTCAAATCCCGGCCAGCTGGGCTCGATACTTTCTCCCACAGCGGTCGCGCAGTCTTTCTCGTCGGAGAAAGCGAAGCGGGGAGTTGTTGAGGGTTCCGGCCGGCCCCCAGAGGAACACTTTCATGTCTATGGTGAATAATACGCTGGATATGATTGTGGAGTCCCCTGGGGATAATCATTTCTACGACGGAATGTAAACAAAGTCTAAGAAGGATCAATTCATTACAGTTAGGAAATTACAAAGAAACTCGGAGGAAGGAAAATTAACATTGAGGAGAAGTTGTCTTTGTAAGTATTGAGCAAATTGAATATGTACAATTATTCATATTATGATATTATGCAATAACTATATATGTACAATAATTTTCATGTTCCCGATATAAAAGATAGTCGTTGAAAATGTTTTTGATTTGTTTAGATTGGTATACCAGGAACATAATCAGACGATATACATGTTTATCCTGATATATCATTAATCATCAGTGCATGTAGAAACATGCAAGATTGTTTAGATTTACGTCAAAATTTCCTATTTTTACAGTATGTTTACATTTGTTAAAGTTTAAAATCCCATTTATTTACATGCCTTCTATAGTGATCTGTAATGATTATTGGATATTTTAGATTACTGTATACCAATTTATGTAAAGCAAATATTTCTATACCGCTATTGTATTCACTAACCTTGCCGTATATGTTTGGTCTCTCATAAATATCAATATACTCGTACATTTTTGAAAATTTGCATGTATTGAAGGTGAAAAAGGGTGTTGTACTGTGGACGAGTTTGTATGCCGCGCTATTGAAAAGGCTGCATAAATTTCTTTAAAGGCACATTATGCCTTAAAATCGAATAAAGTTTACTTCCTTAGAAAGGGCAAGCATTGGTTTTGTAACATTTAAATAACGGTTTGAGAGCAGGTTAGATGCTTGTTACCTGAAGAAAGTAGTGCTAAATGTAAAAATTATTCGCCATAAAAGCAAATTAGTATTTTTACTTCCGTACAAAATACTTAACGACTATAAACTGTACTAATTCCCAGAAACCAACAGAAGCAAACTATGATTCAGGTAATTTGCCATTGAGTATCATTTGGAAACTAAAAATACACCAAAAACGAAAAGCTTTTGAGAAATAGGAAGAAAATAATTTCTGGAACATAATGAGCCATATGAAATATTGTCACGATCAATGGACGTTGAAGACATTACAGACAAGTATTCTGTATTTGAACGTTTAAAGTGAAACATGTAGTAATATATTAAATTCTCTATATATAGTGTCTATATAGTGTATATACAGTGTGTATATAAACAGGCGTTGACGACTTACTAAACGCCACTCATGTGCACTTGTCAGGTTTGATGATGATTTATCAGTTATATTTTTGTATAATGCACGAAAGCTTTAATTACTGTCGGAATCGTACGTTATGGATTATATAAAATCTATGGGGTAAGCATTATTAATTATAAATACATGTTAAAAGTAAACACAAGAAAACACAACGGGCACAACACCCCGTTGGTTGGTATAGATAAGCAACACTGTTGTACGTATACAAAAACTGTCACTGTCACTCGTAGGTGCATCAATACTTTGAGATATTGTACAGGCCTTGACTTAATTTTGATTAACATGTAAAGATAAGATGTATATCTAGAACAATACAACTATAAGTGAGCGTGAATCACAATAATGACAAGGAGAATATTTCACCTTGTTTTTCTAATTCCTTTTCTGCAAGGCACTGAAGGCTTTCTTTTCTTCACTAGCGGACCAAGGCTTGGTAAGTTGAAAATAGACATCATATATATACATGTATTTTTAGAATTACATTTTCAAAGGTATTTAGTTATTGTTTCACCTAAGGGAATGAGGGAAGGATGTTTGGGTTAGTTCAGAAATCTGTCATTGTAATTTAAAGTTTTGAATAGACTCTAACTGATTATTTAAAGACCAGAGAAAAACCCTCGACACGATATTCTCTTTAGTCTCGTCGCTATAGAAAGCTAGAAAAGAGACCCTAAAACATAAATTAATTTATTTCACGCATAATTCAATTATTATTTGAGTTTAAAATGTTTGTACCTACTTTGCTCTGTGCTTTTTAATCTGCCAATCACTGAAATATGACAACTCGAACAATTCTTCACTTCTGAAAACACCACACATATTACTGTGGAACAGAAAACATTCATTTTGCATTGTCATCTTCATCAATTTTTACAGAAAAATACAATGTAGACAAGTCGGGTATCTCGGTGTCTGGAATCTCGTCTGGTGCTGCTATGGCAACGCAGATCCACGTGATTTATTCAAAGAATATCATGGGTGTTGGAATGATAGCTGGCCGTAAGCTATATTATTTGATCTTATCTATATCTTTTAAATTTGATAGCGCATTATTATGATATAGTTTGTAACAGAGGACAGCATTAAAAACTTTATACATTTGTATGTGTTTTGTCCATTAACAAGCAGTTAATAGTTGCTTATTAAGTTCGTTGATTTTACTGATACTTTTCCACATATTTCATTGTGCAGTCTTGGTTTTTTATCCAAGTACCATTTTATTTTCGATAATGTGGTTTTCGTTGCGCAATTATCTACAGCGTTAAAATGCTTGCATTGTATGTTCAACACACTATATGTAAAGTCATCCATGTTTGGTTTCATTATCCGTTGTTACTTATGTTATGTTATGTTATGTTATAACAAATGTATTAAAACTATAGTGCTGCTGATTCAATTGAAAACAAACGTATTACGAGTTTTATATTCTGAGTTGTGTCATTTGTCCTTTTTTTAATTTTGTAAACGTCATTTTTTTTCTGTAGAGGGCTAAAGATTTCATTGAACTGATTATATACTTGAGAGTACGGATGCACATATTTTTCTCACGTAGCACCATTTGCATGTTCCGGAGGAAATGTGGCGCTATCAGCCACATGTATGACCTTACCACAAGCTGTGTCTGCTTCAGCCCTGGAACTGACCACTGAGAGCGGGGCAACAGTTGGTAACATTGATGCAACATCAAATATGGCTGACGACAAGGTTTATATATATGATGGCAAATCTGACTCCGTTGTAAACCCTGGTAAATTTATACAAATGTTATTGTCTTTGTCAGTCCAAGAAACATGCGCACAAGAATATTTTACTACATATGACTTTTGATTAGCCGAACCCAGGAGTCAACAGTTCGGGCTGCAGGTTTACGCTATAGATATTAAAAAATAGCTGTTACTCCCGGAATGAAAAAAATACAATAAATATTCTGAATGAAGTCACCTGTAGGGTTTCCAGAGGCGTTTAAACGTTTAGATATACTTTCAAAATGATGAATTATGTTGACAACATACTGTTATTAAGTCGATGATGCTAGCGAATAACTGCGCTGTTTGTTGTCATTGCTTTGCTTTCAATAATCGCGAGATTTCTCCTTGTTAAAGGATTATTGTCTACATAGCAGCAAATCTTAAATACATAACTGTCACAGGGTGAAAAAAATGTGCAGCCTGACCGGCACTCGAACTCTGGACACTCAGAATAACGTTCCGCTGCTCTACAAACTGAGCTATCCGACCGCTCCTAAATTGTGAACAGTTCTGAACCGTAAACTATTATTTGTCAATAATTTGAGCGTTCCTTGTTTTGTTACAAAGATTGTGGATAAGAATACGAATGAAATACATGGATAGAATAAATTTTGATGATTTTTTTTCTCCCGAGCAAATACTGGTAAATTTTGTACGTATCAATAACACCAAAGGTGTATGTATGAGTAAAAATGTGATGTTTTTTGCATATAGGGATTGGACGTGTCAATCAAGCTTTTTATGAACACTTTGTCCATGACAGAAACGATGTTAAAGTGGTCCTTGATATTAATTCTGAACATTGCATGGTATGAAAATAGAACACTTTTTATAGCCATTATAGATAGATACAAATATAAGAATTTATAGGGTTGTCCCTTTGAGTACCATGGTACATATTTTTTTCTAACAAATTGTAACGATGAAAAATCTCTTTTCTTTCTTTAACATACTAGTATTTTACCGATGTTATTACTATTTTATGCTCAAATTTAATACATGTGGCTATCAAAATTTATTTCAGTTATCAAAGACGGAAACATCTAGGGCAATCAGCAATGTAGCGCTGTGTTTGCAAATAAGCATACCTTCACTATCTCACGGTGTCCACGGGGACGCCGTGTCAGCATGGAATACTATACGAGTACTCCACATTGAACGTGTTTTGTTGTTGTTTTTTTATCAAAGTAGAATGTGTTATTCATGTAATATTGAAAAGCATAACAAAATAACTATAGTGATATGAAATTACTGGAAGCTGTAATGATTGTTTTTCTGTATCAGCCGACAATTAACTACGGTGGCACGTGCGATCAACCAGCGACTCCAACTTATTTATGTAACTGCAACTACTCGGCTGCTTTCGACTTGTTAAATCATATCTATGGAGGCAATTTGAAGGTACGTAATATAGAATGTGGTATATACTTGACTTATGCCACTATTTTAGTATCACTAGGTAAACTATTGAGTTTTAAAACTAACAAAACATTAACTACATGTAATATGTTACTCTTTACTTTTGTCTATTTTCGTGAATTTCAGTCAAGATTTTGGAAGCTATTGACTCAATTTCATTGTAGAAAAGACAATTTTCAACAAAGTGTCATTTTATTACTTTACTATATATGAAGTTGGTATGTCAATTAGTAAATGTTTTATTTGAGTACATGTCTCTTGTAGATGCCATCACGTCAGGTGCAAGCAAATGGACAGGTAGTAAATATAGTTGCATTTTGACGAAATAAATGTTGACACCAATGTTGGCTAATTTACATTTAAATGTATAAATGAAGATTAGATTTATATTAATGAATTTATAATCTTAAAGTTATGATATGTTATATTGCACATGGATGTTTTGCAGAATGCTTTAAATTGGCAATACAGGATTTACCCAACATTCTACAGAACACTTCACCTATAGTTACTATATGGAATTTAGTAATGTCCTGTTGAATCTGACTTGCATGCACAGTGAATGTATTGTTAAAAATAAATTTCTGTTTGTGTGTTATGATACCTTTACTAATGTTGCACTCAGTTTTAGGGATGACGCATTACGTCTTTTAAATCTGAATCGGTCATTTGTTTACCATACGAACGTTTAGTTTACAGATGATGCACCTATTCAGAGAATAACTTTTGGTAGGGTAAAATTTTAAATTCCTGTAGATTGTTTAACATGTATGTAGCTTGCAAAGTCACCCCCTTGATACTAGAGTTATATCATTATATTCTCATTCAATAGAATAGGGTATTTCAAATCGATATTTTTAAGATTGTGAATAACAGAAGATTTCGCAGTTAACTGAAGCCTTCTTGCAACATTAACTTTCATTAACGATATCAAATGAAGATTTCTTGTATTTCAAAAGTTGCTGAAGTTTAGTCAGAGTGACTTTTTCTATGTATCAACACCAGGCATGTATAGTATGGATACGACTGGGTATATTTATGTTCCTTCTGGTTGTCAGGATAAATCAACAAGTAAGTAAATAACGAGTACTAGCTAACCATTACTTACAAAGAAGATATTCAAGTTTTTTCTATAAATACAGGGTTTATTTTCATTGAGTGGTATGAAAATAAATATTTTACTTGTGGCTTTATTATTTATTTTTATAATAGAAAACTTGAACTTTCTGTTTACTATCTATACTTTTGTCTTTTTTAATCTTATGACGTTCTTTTTAATTTGGTGTTTAGACTGAATTTAGAAAAAAGTAGTCCTGCAAGACACCAGTGAAAATACGGAAAATATATGTTTCACTGCAGTAAAAGAAGAATTTTTAAGCGAAAATACGGAATGAAATTACGCATTTTGTTTCAAAATTTCTCAATATTTCATTTATAAGAATATAATAAAGTAGTGAATTATTTCCATCATATTAGGATCTTTATATAGAGAATTAATATGATATGTTACAAAACTTACACACAAATCAGTTTATTTAAAACGTATAATATTTAAATTATATTTAATATTACAGGCTGTTGAAGTTCTATAGATATCAGTATTTACCATTTGTTATTTAACTTGATAATGACCCGTCCATGCCACCATGATGGAGTCATGTTGATTTGTACTCGTACATCTATGCAATATCAATCTTGTTTGCTGCTCAATTACCATATTTTTAGATTGTAATCCCCTAAATTAGGTAATCCCTTAAACTAACAATGATAGTTCTAAATACTCAACTCAGCTTATTTGAATACAATGCATGGGAAGTATTTTTCGTATATTCAGCAGCTTTATTGTTGATATATTGAACTTTAACTTGATGTTAATATGTCATTGTCCGAAAATTGCATCAAATAATTATAAAAACAACGAATTAAATCACACGAATCATTTGTAAGAGATAATGTTTAATATCTTTTTTTTTCCTTTAAAATTGGTACCATATCTTTTAACATTTTACTAGTTGGATATAAGAATTAACAATATATTGTGTGACAGTGCATGCACGCACGCACACACGCACGAACGCACATTTATTGACATATATCGCAAAAATCCAATTATCACATGAGTGTTAATTAAAACATTTAACTTAATTATCTTTCTTTATTATTTACCATTAACAATATAGATAATTCATTAAAACAAATAACAAGTGAATTACTTGCCTTTCAGAATGCAGACTTCACGTGGCTTTCCATGGCTGTGCAATGGGACAGTTAGTAATTTTATAGCATATATTGTGTTAAAATGACTTTACGAGGATGCAATTATTCTTTAAACATGTACATGTAATTATTATTTATTTTATAACTACTGACATCATCGTGTTGTGAATATTAAATATATTGACCACATATTATTTTAAGCACAGCTTAAGAAAAGTGTAATGTACTCATTTTGAGACATTTTATCCCTCGTTCTGGAAACTACATGAACTCAAAATATCGCAAACGATGCTAAGATAATAAAAAAATCTGGAAATCGTGAAAATTTCTCCTAAAAATATGAAATCGTTTACAGCATAATATTTTTACAGAAGTAAGATTGGGGAGGCGTATGTACGTCACGGAGGTTACAACGAGGTTGGGGAGCTAAATAACATCATCATACTTTATCCTCAAGCAAAAGCCTCTACCGTACCATTCAATGTTGCCGGTTGTTGGGACTGGTGGGGATACACTGGAGCATTATTCGGTGCGTTAGTTGTCAATTTTAAAACTTTGTACCGCGTGATATTACACGTGCGTACATTCGAACACATTATGTTCATATCACAGTTAAACATTATAAAACCGCAACATTTTAAAAGTATTCAGAAACTATTAAAAATTGAATTGTAATTTTGACCTAGATTAGTATGTTTAGTTATATCAGATGATAGTAAACGTGAAGTTAAGTTTAATGTTTATATCTTCAGCAACAAACAGTGGATTTCAACCAACAGCCATCAAACGTATGATCGACAGAGTTGCTGGTTTGTGAATACACGATATATACATGTTTAATTCTGGAATGGTTGATGTGAAATAAAAAATACAACACTTTTGAGTAAAGTGATTATTTATAGACTGGATTTTTGTGTATCTTTTTAAAAGATGGACGATGCTGTAAGTACATGCCCATGTGGTAGAGCGGGTACAAATCTAATATTGTATAAGGGATATATATTATTATCATCGCCTATTTTAAATATAGGCCAATGCGCTAGTTAAATATTATATTTGTCAGTCAGGCTATATAGTCCTGATTTTCCCGTCAGCAACTAGTATTTCACTGATTTTTAATTTCATTTTCTCAAGATAATAGAAGAACATCAAGATATAAAATAACGCTTCTTCTATTGAAGCTCGACAAAAGGCGCTCTTAAAAAGATAACAAACACAAAGTATATAATACATGTAATCTTTTGCGCTGATTTTTTTTTATATACTTTAAAGGCACACTAATCCTCTGAACTAAATACACATGTTTTTTCTCTAAAAAAGGGCATAACTTATATAACTCATAAATATAGCAAAATGTGAACTTAGTGGTATTTTGACTTCCATTCAAAATGCTAAATCACTCATGTTATATGCCATAGAAGCAAAAGGCGACTACTACTTGGACAATTAGCTCTATTTAGGAAACTGAAACAAAACATCAAGAGTGAAAGGCTGTTGAAAAATATCAGAGACGTATATATAGATATCTATGTCTCTGAAAATATGAATTTTAGCATTTTTGGGTCTCAAAACACTTTAATGAATTAATGGTATTTGAATCGCGAATATGTAAGAAACAAAACGCAATAAGATAAGTGGTATGCATGTTCACAAGTGTATACGCTAGAAAAGAAAAACGGGTTTTTGAGCGACTGTCTTGTATGGCGTTATACAATTTGAGAGATAATATAGTTCAATGAGGCAGCATCAACAATGTTTTAATAAATGTAAGGCTTGTAGTAGCGTATATTCTATGAATATTGACATGATTTTCTTTGTTTATTTAAATTTTCAACACGTTAACATGATGAAAAAATGTCCAAGAAACATGAACTTGAAAACACTGCTAAAAGTGATCATTCCTTTATAGATATCAATTTAAGCCGTTCTGAAATGTAAGGAAGATAGCAAAGTTGTCTTCTGTTCTAAATATGCTCACCCTCTGTGAGCAAAACTGTCACAAATTTCTTTTTCGTTAAGGAACATGCACAAATAAATTTTCAAGTCAAAGGGTAACTTTATTCGGAAAACGCAGCTAATCTATAACACATAAACTATACATGTACGATTTTCTAAAATAAATACTTCAAACTAACAACGCATATATAATTTAATTAATAAAAAAATCAATTTGAACACATTTTCTCCTCCCTAAATAAGAGAAAAAAGACATTTTACCTATACAGTCATTCAAAATAGTCTTTTGCAAATAACAAAGAAAAAAAGAACCCCAAAATGTCTTTACGTTACTTTTAACAATGAAAATTACAGCCTTGATTGCGCTTCATGTGTGTATTTAGCTGTTTTCGGTCAAATAATGTATATGCATGCTCTGAATGGTCAAGGTTTTGAAATGAAAATATTGTGTGTATCGTGGAACAACTTCCGTTACTCACGTCAAGACCCAGTGATTTATCAATGTTTATTAATAGTATTTAATCTCACGTTATTGACTAACCCTATCACACCTAGAAATTTATAATTATAACAACCAATCACAATTGATATCCTCATGATGCTTTGTGGTGTCATCTGGAACAAATCGGCAGTTCTAATGTTTTGATTATTTTGATTTGATTATTTTGATTAAATACTGAAGAAAAGTGTTGTTTCGATATAGATCGTTATCGTAAATGTATTTATAAGATATATTTTTTAAAAACTAAAGCACATAGACTTGACATGTTTATCACACTAAATGTATTGTACGTAAACATCGCTGAATACCACTTTAGTCAGTGTTGACTAAGTTTTAATTTGAATTTTGTAGTAACGTTGCTATTTTTTTTATTTCGATATTCGACCTTGTTGAACTGTATTAAGTAGAATATATTTAACAAATAACGGGCAATATGGAAGTTTATGGACTGGTAAGTCAGACAGACTGAGGAAGGTATATGGCCCAAAGCGCAGCTTTATATATAATAAATGCTATACACATTTATTGTGTTATTGTGTTATGATTACATACGTTATATTAACAAAATCAATTTCTTGGTATGTTATGATTTCGTCTAACCCCCTGTTTGTAATGTAAGAGTAACCTCCCTGTGACGAGTATCGTATATCAGTTCACATGTACACAAGGAAGTTTAAAACGGTTTTAATCTTGATACCGGTATACAATTGATGGATGTATGTGACATAAGTCTACTGTATATATTATAATTAATAAACCAACAAAAATGGCATCAAACTACGCTACTGAAGATCTAGATTCAGATGAAATTGTAGAAATGTATTGTGAATTGTGCAAAAAGAAAGGTAAACATCGTATCGCTGACGGATTTTGTGTGAATTGTGTCAAATATTTTTGCAAAAAATGCTTATCATATCATACCGATTTTTTACCTGATCATGTACATAAAGACAAGACTAATATGCCACAAGATGTGTGCTTAAACCCGTGTCCTAGTCACAGCGAGGATATCATCAAATTCTACTGCTCAAGTTGCAACATGTTTTTCTGTTCTGAATGTAAGAAGAACGGACACAAGGAATGTAAAAATGTTCATCATTTACCCGAGCTTGTAAAAGATCTAGAAAAAGGAACAGAATTTTTGAACCTAAGGCAAAATTTAGATGTAGTTGTGGAAGAATCACAAAAACACGTATCTGTTCTGTCTGAGGCTAAGAAATCAATGGAAGCAATGTGTAGCGTTGCATTGTCAGAAATAGATTCATTGAGGGACCAACTTATCGAATATATAAATAGAAGTGTTGGAACAATAAAATCAGATTTGAAATCAATAGAAAACGCAGAAATGAAAACAATCCAAGATAATTGTTCAAAACTGTCTGCATTGATTTCCGAGACATCATCCATGAAATCTAAGATGGAACAGAAAGTACGGGAATGTAAAAGATGTGAATTGTTCATGGCCATGAAAGATATGCAAACGAAGCAAAAAGCCCTACAGCAGAATGTATTGGAGGTGAAGCGGCACAAGTTGAGGGACTTTGTGTTTGAAGCAAATAGCAGTATCAAATCTTTGATGAAAAATCATATTCCGTTGGGAAATCTAGTTTTCAAACAGAATGTAAGTACCACCTGTATAAAAGAGGAATCCGCACAAATGGTAAATATAGTTTTCATAATAATGATAATTACAATGACCCATAAGACTAATAATCATAGTGATAGTGATAATGATAATGACAACAGCAACAATAACAGTAACAACAATGATAATAATAATAATAATAATAATAATAATAAAAATAATAATTATTATTATTGTTATAATACTTATTATTATTATTATTATTGTTATTATTATCATTTCTATTATGATTGGCTGAGACAGGACATTGTGATGAGGAGGTGGACATAAGCTTATCCGGTGCTGAATGTCTCCCACAAATTAGGAATTATCTAGAACTTATTTCATAATATTAAAATTTCGTCGACAGTTTAGATCATGCTATTACTTCGGAAAGCTCATATGTTCGATGACACTGTGTCACGAAAGTGTAATATGCTTTGTATAAATAACTTGGATAAGAGGTGGAAAAGAAGTGTCAAACATTGCATTTCAACATATATTTATATATATTTTACTCATATGCTATTTGCTTATACCATTAAAGAGATGAGCAAATGCTTATTTGGGTTATTCTGAAGGTCTAGATTCTCGATTCATTTATATATATACGACAAAACATATTTTCCCGGTATGTTTTTTAAATAAATACATAAAACACTTGTACAGTGATCAATATAAAAGGCGACATAAACTTGACATATTTGTATTTAAACTTTACATTGAAATAATTTTTATATGCAGTCAAAGCCCACTGTAGAAGTACCAGATGTAAATACACAGAAGTCGTTCGTTGGAAACCAATTACAGAAACCATTAATTAAAGGAGAGACATGGTAAGTATTTATTTGAATATCTGTATTATGTTTTGGATACATTTAATATTAAACTCGGAAACTTTGTACCTTTATAGTGTTTTCTAACTGCACTTGTATCTCACAAAACAGCGTTTCCAGTATAATAACACGTCACTATATATTTTATATTTAAAGGCACATAAGGTCCCAAAAATGCCTTTATTTTCATTTCTGTAGAGCTTTTTATGTTTGGTGTACACTAATAGTTTCCAAAAAAGTTACTCATTGGCTAATTATATTAATTATCTTACGCTTAATAAAGTTATTATGGTTCATTGTTTTGTATACATATCAAAAACTATTTGTTCGCATTTTGATACCGTGATGACAAATTATTTCACATGTAGAGCTACTTTTTTCAAGTAACAAACATGTTGTAAAACCGCTATCTAAACGTTATAAATTTCCTGTTTACCCTTTATTTATTCATTTCTTAAGTATAATATGCCTTTAACGGATAATTCATGACCTTCTTTATAATCAAACTTTTTATTAACTCGTAAGGGGCGCCCGTGGCCGTGTGGTGAAGGTCGTTGACTTCAAACCATTTGCCCCTATCCGCTGTGCGTTCGAATCCCGGCAGGGACTTTGGATTCTTTCATGTGAGGAAGCTATCTAGCTAGTTTACAAAAATGTCGGTGGTTCTACTCAGGTGCCCGTTCGTGCCTGAAATAATGCACGGAAATGCACCCGAGGTCTTCATCCGCCAGTAAAGCTGGAACATCGCCATATAACCTATACTGTGTCGGTGTGACGTAAAACCCAATCAAACAAACAAATTTACTCGTAATAGTATAAACATAATAAAGTTATGATAATTTGACAAAATATAACATTTTTATACGTGTATTCAATATGAATAATTATTATGGGTCGTATAATAAATTTTCTTGCATTAAAATGATCATTGTTGAAACGAACACTTTTTGTTGTGAGAACATATATTTCAAGCAACATTTCTTACAGATTCGGCTTTATCAGAAATTTTGTTTTGTCTGTGTACACTGTCTTTATTTTGACCAATATTTGAGCCAATATGAACCACACTGGATAAATACCAAAATATTGTTTAAAAAATCTTGAAAGAAGGTGATCCCTCGGAAGTATTGATCACAACAGAATTACATGAAAATTGCAGACTCGGTTTGATTGAGTCTGTACATGAGGGATAATGAATAAGTGCAACATCCCTCACTCCTCCTAGCATCGACTTACTGAATTCTCAACACTTAGTAGTTCTGTCATCAATGATCCCGAAGGACCAGAAAAATATAACAACACTGAAGTGAAGTACGGGGCATTTTTTTACAGCTGCCACACGGCACTTGACACCTGCTGTTGTGAAGTATAAAAATCTGGAAAGAAAGTGATCCCTCGGAAGCATTAATCACAACACCTCAGAAGCATAAATCACAACAGAATTACATGAAAATTGCAGACTCGGTTTGATTGAGTCTGTACATAAGAGAAAATGAGTAAGTGCAACATACCTCACGCCCTTAGCACCGGCTTAGGCGGTACTCAATTCTCAACACTTACTAGTACTGCCATCAATGATCCAGCAGAACAACACTGAAGTGAAGTACGGGTCAACTGTTTACAGCTGCTACACGGCACCTGACACCTGTTGTGAAGTATAAAAATCTGGAAAGAAAGTGATCCATCGGAAGCATTAATCACAACAGAATTACATGAAAATTGCAGACTCGGTTTGATTGAGTCTGTAAATGAGGGATAATAAATAAGTGCAACATCCCTAACGACCCTATCACCGGCTGAAGTGGTACCCAAAATAGGCACTCGATTCTTAACACTAAATAGTGCTGGCATCAATGATTCTAAAGGACCAGAAAAATATGACAACACTGAAGTGAAGTACGGGGGCACCGTTTTACAGCTGTCACACGGCACTTAACACCTGCTGTTGTGATGTACAATAATCTGGAAACAAAGTGATCCCTCGGAAGCATTAATCACGACAGAATTACATGAAAATTGCAGACTTGGGTTGATTGAGTCTGTACATGAGGGATAATGAATAAGTGCAACATCCCTCACGCCCCTAGCACCGGCTTGAGCGTTACTCAATTCTCAACACTTACTAGTGCTGCCTGGCATCAATGATCGGAAGGACCAGAAAAATATAACAATACTGAAGTGTAGTTGAATTGCAGTGCAAACGAAGGAATGATTTCTTGGGGCAGACTTTACACTGTTTTTAGACAATAATATCCTTAGATAATTATCATCCTTATATTAGTCAAAATTTTTAAGATTAAAAAAATGTTCATGTGCTCATAGAACGTTTGTTTTCCAAATTTCATTAGAATCTGTTCTAATAAATTTTGTTTGATATCGTTAAATAATTAATCTAAGTGTACAAAAGGATTTCTTGTGATTATTTATCCTTTCTTTCATAACATTAGGATGCTTAATATTTTCTTTAAAAACATTATTGCGAGTTCATGTTAACATTTAAGTTTGACAATTGTGTTGTTGTATGTTGCGTTGTTGTATTAAAAGATCCTTAAATGCTGAATGATTGATAATTTAGGTACATTATTGATGTCAAATGGTTCAAACAGTGGAAAAGTTATGTTGGTTATGAGAGCTTGGACCACTTTAATGTAGGCGAGGAATCAGCTAATCCAGGACCTATAGACAATACCCCTATTTTTCAAGGTAATGTAATATTATATTAAACCATTTAAATATGAAATAATAATCTTACTCTTAATTGTTTTGAAAAGAGCTGATTTATTACATTTTATTTTCTTATTTATCTTATATATTAGATATTATATGCATTACTTTAAAGGGTTAGTTTCTTTATATAATCTTTGTATAATCAAACAACCTGCAACAATGGTTTTGATTTTTTTGTTCAAAGTACACATATACATATCTATTTTAATATCACTTTAATAATAAGTTTGTTTTGAATATATTTAGAGGTCGATTCTTGATTGCTGCTCGCCATTATGCAATTATTGATCGATGATGTCAATAATGGCCGCAAACCTGAAGTAATCGATGACCATTATCACATAATGACGAGCAGAAAGCAAGATAATTGCATATTACAAATGGTGTTTACATTGGCCAAATTTGATATATTTTAATCATACCAAACCATTGCTTTCAAAATCGTGCAATTTACTTTGTCGTTAACAAAACATCTTACCGGAAACTTAAGTTTTTCCATTTCAGCATGTGCATTTGCAAATAGTTCCAAAAAGCCTACTTTTGAATTGTTTTCTAAGCTAGCATCACATCAGTAAATAAAGAATATGTAAACAAAAGTGTAAAATAAATCTATTTAGCACAGGTAACCTGCACCTTAAATCCAGCGATCCCAAACTTAAGTCAAAGTTGGGAGATTTCTAACTCTTAGGGCATGTACCTACCAATTATAAAAGTGAATGAATTAAGACTGTATAAGCAAAGTGTAAAAAATATAATTGTAACACTGACTGGCCCCATGCTACGTATAATGGTAGCGGGCAATTCATGGTATGCTCCTACCAAATTAAAAAGCGAAAGGGAAAAACATCTTTTTACCGAGCACTTCTCTAAATAAGACGACTACCCAATGAAACTTTGTTGATAAATAAAGCTGTATAAGCAAAAGAATAAAAAAAATTGTTTCAAGCACAGATGACTATGACCTTAAATCAAGTGCCCCAAAACTCCAACTCCACCCAAACGTAAACGACTACCCATGGTATCTACTTATAAAATACATGAATTCATGAAGTTAATTTCATGAATTCGTGAAGATAAAATCTTGAATTTTAAGATTTTTAAAATAGTTGCCCTTAAATCTTTGCCAATTCCATGTAAAAGACCCGTTGTAATTAAAAACTACGCCTAAATAGTTGAAATTGTCAGATATTTCTAAAAGAATAGCATTTCATTATCTTTTAAAGGTCCTCTTTTCCTAAAAACCATTTTTTTTGGTTTTATTATTAGCCACCTCTAAACTCACTTCCTACAATATTCATATAAATTGTTCAAACTAGCTTGTAAATCCATAGGATTTTATCCAGAATGCCATATCGTCTGCAAAAAGCAAAATGATGACACACACATCGAATAATGAAAAACTAATGTTTTCTTGTTTTCAATATAAATAACATATACATTGCATTTAAAGTTACATTTAGCAATTGAGACATTACACATGTATGCAGATACAAAAGTAATAACAGTTACTGCTGATGTTCTTCTATGATTTAAAGAAACATAATTGATAAGATGATTAATTAATAAAAATACAGACATGGCCCTTAAGTTGTCTATGTTATACTACTTATCCCCCAAACTATGCTTATGAAATAATCTATGCAGTGTAAGTGTTCTAAATTATTAAATTATTGTACCTATGTTTTACCTTTCAGAAGGAACGGATAAACTGAAAGAACACTTGATAGATGATTTAGATTATGGACTTGTTCCTGAAGAATGTTGGCAAATGTTGCTGTCTTGGTATGGACTATTGGAAGGACAGGTAACAGTTATTTTATGTGTGAATATCTCTGTACGGTATGTTTATCAAATGACGTTTTTTGAGGGTGTACATACTCTTGAGCATTTTCTTTGAATTAGACAATAAACACAACCATTATTATAAACACTGGGGATAGAAAGTGGCGATAAAGTGTTCATATTGTAAGTAACACGAAACATAACATAAAAAATGTTATATTGTTAGTGCATGTACAGTATATGGAATCAATAGAGCAAGAACAATGTGTTTTGTCTCAAAGTTTACAGCATTATTTGATTCAACAAATTAATATGATCATTATTCAAGGTACAGAAGCGAAAAATATATTTTGTAATACAGATTTTCGAAATAATTTTCCAATCGTGTTGTATGTTTTGTTTGTTCAGAAACCATTACCAAGAAAAGTGATAGAACAAGGTACTTATAGTAAATCGTTGAAAGTGGAAGTTTACTTGTGGCATCTGAAGATTTATGATGACTCTAATCCAGATGATGTCATTACAAAACATTTCAGTAGAAGTGATACAATCTGTAAGATCATTTTTAGTATATCCTTTTTTAAAGTTTATGTTTTGACCTTTTTACAAAATTAAAAAAAAATAAACTGATATAAAACTATTTCGAAATGGTCAAATTAAAATGCTAAGACTGTTATTTATGTAAAAGGAAAACAAAACAAATAAACAAACAAACACACATATAAATAAATAAAATCATGTTTAATATTCTTACATTTTCACATTATTAACAGTGATCAATTTATTCGATCCATATGTAGGCAAACTTGAAGAAGTAATGCGTAGGGAATTTAGCATACCCAGTGATAAAGAAGTCCGGTTATGGAATAGGTTTATGACAAACATGTACGAACAGTTGACCAAAAAACACTATACGTTACAGGATGCAGGGTTATATCAGGGTCAATTTATTGTGATAGAGCAGAAAAATCCCGACGGATCATGGCCTAGAAAAAATTAAAAAAGACTAAATAAAAAAGTAACTTAAGTAACGTGTATGGTTTTAAAGTTGATAGAAATTGTATAACACAATTAACAGAATGTGGTTGAAGTACGGTTGGTTCTTAAAAAATAAAATGGAATATAGCTAAAGAAACGATATTCATTACAACTATAAAACATCAGGTTAACAAATGCATTTGCACAACGTTTCTGTGCATGCATTTCATAAACGACAAGATTATTTAAATGCTTTATAGAAGAAAAACTATTTTATTTATTACAGTAGAGCACTGTCAGTAACATTTTCAGGTTTCTTTTTTTATTGAAAAAATTGGTTAAATAAGAAACTTTAACTTTCGTAACATTCTTTGATTGTTTTACTTGTACCTGTATATATGCGAATACAATTTACTAATTTTGTCACATATATGCTATGGTATTTATGTTTTAGTCTATGCCACTGCTCAATATATGCAAAGACTGAATAAACGTTCTGTTTTGATTAAAATATAAAATAAACATGTAACACTTGCACCTTAATATTGCCCGATGCATCTTTCAGCTCTGAAGACATTTTGGTACATATATAATTATATAAGAATTGTCGTTTTGCACTCGGATATTAACCATTGTTACGAAAAAATTTTACCAGTCTAATTGAACTTATTTGACAAGATATTTAGAACCTTTTAATTTCAAGGTTCCTTAAAATGTATCATTATAAATTGTGTTGTACATGTTTTAGGTGTACATTTCTTAAAAATGTCAATCCTTTTTTAAATCTCACCTGCCATACTTACACAATTTAATATACATGAACTATAATCTACCTATCTTGTATCAATAGTGAAGTGAAATATGTGGATAAATACAGTCAATACAATTAATCAATAATAACGATATAATTATATTTGTTCTGACAAAAGCGTTATGTCGATCAAATACGTTTTCGATTTAAATAGATACATGTATATATGTCCACATTTTACTTATGTTAGCTTAGAACATGTGTATTTTTATTTATTCATCTATTTCAACTATTTGTTTTGGTAAACATTGAATCAAAATTCAATACATTTACATTAACTGGTGTGATTTAAATAATTGAAATATAAACATTAATGCATATCATATTTGTATAGTTTGTCGTCCACTGTATTCTGTATGTTTACAATTTCATTACGATAATAATGTATTGTATATGTTCATTGTTACTGTATATGTTCATTGTTCGTTATGTTGTAAAAACCTGTAGACATAAAGGAACGCCAAGGGAAGAAAACGAATGCCAAAATATGTACCATAGATGTAATATAAAACGAGTTTTATTTAAAAAATTCTCCAAATATGTCCAAAAATTATAACTGAAGGAAATAATTTGTAACACCATATTTCTGTTGATGACCTTTAATTAAACTGCGAATTATTGATTCAAAATTCCTTTTTATCGTAACATTTATACTTTTATTGCAAAACAGAGCTACAAAATATTTTGAATTTAGTTCATTGAATATATATACTAAAAAGATCAATTAATCAACATGTTGTTTTGCATCATTTTTCTGTAAAGTAGTATGCACATTGTTGTTCCACGTTTATCACATGTTCATGTATATTGGCTATATGTATGGTCATGTTATTTTATGCCAAATAAAGATTTTGTGATGTATATTTTTTTATGGGCTTATCAGCTTTATTTGATTAAACTAAATGTCTGTGAAATGTAGTCAACAAAATTATAGATCTACATGTAGAGAGTTGCGTGGATATTTTTGCCATATACATAAGCTTGACAATGTCAAGGTTTAATTGTGACGTTTATAGGTAAGATCAAAAAATGAAACTTCCAGAAACCTTTTTAGCTCACCAGGACCGAAGCTTCAGGGTGAACTATTAGTATCAAAGGGGGATGCTCCGGCGTCCGTCGTCCGTCGTCATGCGTCAACATTAATCCTCTTCTCTGGAACTGCTGGGCAAATTTACTTCAAATTTGGTCTGTTGCATCCTTGTGACAGTCACACTTTGATATCATTTCAATTAGCTCCTTTTAGGGATCAACAGAGCTAAAAAAAACCTTAAAACATCTTTTCTACTGAAGTAAACCAAACATTGTCTGTAGCATTCTTACATAATCTGTTATCAAATTTGTTCAAATTTATTTCATTGGTCCCTTTTAGGGACCTCTAGAGCTAAATATAGAAAACTATTTAAACATCTCCTTCTACTAAACTGATTGCTGGATGATCACCACACTTTGTCTGTAGCATTCTTATGTAGTATTTTATCAAATTTGCTCATTATTAATTTGATTGGCTAAAGCTAAAAATAGAAAAAACTTAAACTCTCTTTTATTGAAATTTTTGATGGATGGATGGATGATCACCAAACTTTGTCTATAGCATTCTTAGAGGGTTTTTATCAAGTTTGCTCAAATTGAATTGTTTAGCCCCTTTTAGGACCCGATAGATCTGAAAAAAGAAAAAAATCGGTTAACATCCTCTTCTTCTGAACTAATACTTGGATTATTACCAAACTTTGTTTGATGCTCTCTTAGATGGTTTGTTTTTCAAGTTTGCCCAAATTAATGTGATTGGTTTATTTTAAGACTTCGAGAGATAAAAAAAGAGAAGTCGTAAAATAGCTTTTCCAAATAGATTGTTTATAATTTTAACTTGTTCTTCTATTCACTATGTTTTTTTGCTATAAATACTTGTTAACATGAACATCAACTGCCACTTCATGTATTATTACAGGGGTTACCGTGGGCACCATGTTAAAATCGCTGACTATAAACTTTCCCCTCACCACGCCTGCTCTTTTGGATTCTAGCCATTAAGCTAGCATACATAATGTAAGTGGTCCTACTCTTGTACTCATTCTATCTGAACATATTATTCGGCCTAAAAATAGTTATGGTTTTGGTTACTCACCCTACCTAGCAAAATATTCTGACCCTAATTTTTTTTTGATGTTTTTCAATAGCAATTTATATTCCGTATCACATTTTCCACTCGAACATGAAAGAAAAGAGAAAATGAGTAAATCTTAATGAAAACACTTAAAATGATGTCAGTATGAACAAGTTCAATGATTTAAAATAATAATAATAAAAAAATAATAAAAAAGCCTACATACCCTACCTATTTTAAATGGATCTGTTAACCTAACCACAACATTTTTTTTGCCTTATGAAGCACGACAGTACGGTGACACACAGGTGACATGTGTGTGTTTTTATTTATCTCGTGGCCACGAGATACTATGTCGTGGCCACGAGTTACTAAGTCGTGGCCTCGAGATAGCTAAGTCGTGGCCACGAGAAACTATGTCGTGGCCATGAGTTACTAAGTCGTGGCCACGAGATAGCTAAGTCGTAGCCACGAGATACTATGTCGTGGCCACGAGTTACTAAGTCGTGGCCACGAGATACTATGTCGTGGTCACGAGGTACTAAGTCGGGACCACGAGATAGTTAAGTCGTGGCCACGACATAGCTAACTCGTGGCCACGAGATACTATGTCGTGGCCATCAGTTACTAAGTCGTGGCCACGAGATAGCTAAGTCGTAGCCACGAGATACTATATCGTGGCCACGAGTTACTAAGTCGTGGCCACAAGTTACTAAGTCGTGGGAACGAGATAGCTAAGTCGTGGCCAAGAGATAATTAACCAATCAGAATACACTATATATATTATGATTTTTTTCAACTAAACACATTACTTTTACATGCAACATTAATCTTTGAAAATACTGAACATATTCACTTTGAACTTGTCTTTAGGATCATATTAAAAAGTCACCTTCCACGGCCCATCAGACATTAATTTTGACTATAGCTCTTTGTTGGGACAATTTTGTGATCAAATTGGTCAGTCTGTAAACCTTGTTTATACGATCACATGAGAAGGAATAGGTCCTGGTTTATTTTATTTGTCAGGGACATTGCCCATGGTCAGTAGATAGCCTATAAGGTAAATAATTTAGAAGGGATAAGCCATGGTTTATATAACACAGAAAGATCATTGCACCTGATCAGTAGATGGCATCTAATAATTTCGAGGTCATTGGGTCAAAAATCAGGGTCACAGTGACGCTAAATGTTAAATTATTGACAAGTCAATAAGTTGTATAAATGACACATTTACAGGCTGGTGAAGAAGGGGCATCCTTGTACTATAGCACATGTCTAGTTAATTAGGGAAATTCACATAAATGGTGTAATCTGATAGGTTATTTATCTCGTGGCCACGACTTAGCTATCTCGTAGCCACGACTTAGTAACTCGTGGCCACGATATAGTATCTCGTGGCCACGACTTAGATATCTCGTCGTCACGACTTAGAAACTCGTGGCCACTGCATAGTATCTCGTGACCACGAGTTAGCTATCTCGTGGCCACGGCTTAGTAACTCGTGGCCACGATATATATAGTATCTCGTGGCCACGACTTAGTAACTCGTGGCCACGACTTAGTATCTCGTGGCCACGACTTAGTATTTCGTGGCCACGACTTAGAGATCTCGTGGCCACGACTTAGTAACTCGTGGCCACGACATAGTATCTCGTGGCCACGACTTAGCTATCTCGTGGCCACGACATAGTACCTCGTGGCCACGACATAGTATCTTGTGGCCACGAGATAAATAAAACTAAATTATTTGTTCTTTTCTGTCTGTCTTAGGTATTACTTACTATTTTTGTTGTATAAAATTTACCAGTTGTAAGGTCATCAAAAGCATAGAGGCCCTGAAAAGTAATTATTGATATATTTTATTTACTGGCTTTATATACCTTAGACCACCTAATTAATCTCCATGCTTAGACTGGATTTTTCTAGTTTATTCAGTTAGTATACATTCTGGTACAGGAAGCTTCTAATCACTATGTGAAACTTATTATTATTTTCTATGTGTTTGTATATAAATTGTTAATAAAATAACCTTTGATAAAAATGAAAGGTAGAAATTTAGAAAATTAAAGCTATGCATGCATATAGGTGCTCATGTCCATATATTAAAACAGAGAAAGGATAACATCCTGAAGTTATGAATTTTAAACACTTAATATATATGCAGTGAGTTATATAGTAAAGTCTAATCGAAGGTTAAAAGAGGGACAGTATTTGTTACTGTAAGAGATATGCATTTAATGTTTAGACACTCACACAACTCAATCTTTATTATACTATATAGACTATTTGACATTTTTTTTAACTTTTATACTATACATTATAGTATCCTTTTTACAAGATTATGAATTCCATCCAAGTACCAATGTTAATAGGATGTTATATTTATTTTTGATGGAAACTGAAATTTTTTTAATGTAATGTGCATACATGTATATCTTAGTATATGGATATAATGTGTATTTCTGTATTTAAAGACTTACAGTTATGATGGATGAGACTTGCATTTAAATTTATAAATGATAATACATGTATCAATTAGTCTACAGGTTATAGATGTTTATACCCAGTGTTAGCTGGCTAATAATAGTATCTATAATAGAGTTTATACATTATAGTTTTCTTTCTACTAGATTTTGAATTCCATCCATTAGTACCAATGTTAATGTTAGGATTTCATATTTATTTAATAGAAACTGGGAATTATTAATGTTATGTGCATACATGTATATCTTAGTATATTGATATGATGATACTTATAATATTTCTGTATTTAAAGAATTACAGTTATGACATTATTATCAGGTATATATATTAATATACGTACCTGTAATTATTAAAGGGATGAGACTTTCATTGATAATAAATGTATTGATTGAAAATTTCCTTAAACTTGGATCAAGCAATATAATTAATAAAGACTCAAAAAATCATATTCTGAATAGTTATTCTAATTTTTTTCTAACGTGTGCATACTGTAGTTTCAAAAGGACAGCTTCTGTCTTATCTATTTGTAATAGAGGAACACCGGTCTCAACCTCCAGGTCTCCTGAGTCAAACCGACAACATACTTTTCATAGAGTAGATTGTTACTTGTCCTTGAATAAATTTGTGCACTAAATTTTATAGTGGGTAATTTGTGCCACATGAAAACCAACAAAGTACAAAAAGTAACCAGGCGCCAGATAAAAACACGAAAATACAATCTACCACAAAATGGTTCGTTTGTTGCATTTTCATGTTTTTGCCCGGTGCCCCTGATGCAAAATACAAATCAGCCTTCACAAAATTTCTTATCATAGAAAAAAGGTTAGTATTTTATCTGTACAAAAAATAGATATTGTACATGTATTGGTACAGTTATGTTCATTTTCAAATTGACCTGTTATAAATAATGGCACAACCAATAATTGTCTAGCCCTTTTTAGTAAAAATAATTATACAATATATAAATTGCTATTGCTCCGCGCCCACAGGCGCGAAGCTATTTGTGTTTACCATTTTTTTTGTCCATGGGCCCGGATTTTATCAATTAATCCCTTCGATTTACAGCTAAAAATAAATTCGGATTCTATAACTCCTTTCGATTATTATATTGGTCCCCCCTTCGATGATTCGTAGCAGGTCATATTAATGAATGAGATCCGGAAAGCAGTTCTGCTGTACATGAATTCGAAAGCTATAAATAACTATAAATGTTCTGATTTTTGACACTTAAGTTATAAATTGTTATTTCCCTTTTTTAGTAGTACATGAAATTATAATTTGTTACATTTTGAATAACATTTACACACAGAATATTGAGTATACTATTAGTGATTGAATTTGTCAATATAAAGAAGATTTCAGACATAAGACTATAATAATTTTGCTTTTGATAATTATTCTTAATTTAAATTTATGAAACTAAATGTTTAATAATAACATGTTGATATATTGGTTGTTTTGAAATAATTTAAACTTAAGTATATAAAATTACATTTCATTGGCATCATTTTACTCTGTGCTTGGTGACATGTCCGGGGGTCCGTACTCGACAGCGAAAGCTGCATTTTGTGCCCGCACGACCCTCATTTAGCATAGACTTTAGATAGATAGATCGCGTCATTGGTAACAATAGAAACTTTGATCTGCAGTTTGAACATGAGGTGTATTGTTTTTTTATGAATGGTTTTAAAGCAATTCAGCAAAAAAGTATATTGATCTCCCAATAAATCAATTAACAATAGCTTTTTATATATCACCAATGTCAAGTAGCTTTTATATCTTTGACTCGCACGAACATGATGTTAGTGAATTTCCTCATACCTGCCTAAAATTCAGGTAACAGTCTTCTATCAGTATTGAAAGAAACCATTTTTTTTTAATTTGACATGAAAAAATGCATGTAATATTACTATATTATAATATTAGTCCCTTTTGTTACTATTTGTATATTTGTTACAATTACGATATAATAAAAAAACAGACTTTGATATTTTTATCATCTTATGTTACTGACTACAGTAGTGACACAAACAGAACACAGTACAGTCATGTCACATAACATTTACAAGTCTTGTAAGTCTTGTTTGTATTCAATGGAATTACTTTCCTTACCAGGTAGGCATCAGTGAAAGCATTATTTCAAATTAAATATCTGGCCCCTCTTTTTAATTATGGACAGTAAATAAGATAAGTATAATTATGCCAAACATGGTTAACAAAACATTCGGAAAAAATCTACAATAGTACTTAATCTGAATATAACATGACCTGCGCGTAGGAATATTTTGGTAAGGTATCTGTAATGAGCGCATTTTTGCGCGGACCTTCTCAATTAATGCATTGCAGCAAGATTTGTACTTATTTTGATTAAGACTATGAGTATGTAAGGTTTTATTTTCTTATTTGTTTAATTAAGAATTAATCTACCTGTTAATTTAAAAATCTAAAAGTATCTGTCACGGTTTAGAACTGTTCACTATTTATGGGAGAAAATGTGTAAGCGGCCAGATAGCTCAATCGCTACAGCCGCGGTACATTATTCTGTGGGTCACAGGTTCGAGTTCTGGTCAAGCTGAAAGTTTTTCTCATCCTGTGACTGCATATAACACTGAGTTTAATTCACTATGCTCTGTAAACATCAGGAAATTCAAGGACACAAATCAATATAGTGGGGAAATATGTTGTGGTTTAGAACTGTTTCATTATTAAAGAGAAAATGTGTAGCCGGCTGGATAGCTAAGTTGGTCTTCTGACAGTCATGGGTTCGAGTCATGGTCAGGCAGTTTCAGTCAGGGTTTAGAAGTGGTTTTTCAACTGACACATGTTTGATTCATTTAACAGATTGTATTACATTTGAAATGGACAAAGGCAGTATTGCATGATACTTTTAGATCTACAAAAGGCATTTGATACAGTTGATCACACTATACTGCACATGAAGAAGTTCTTTTTCTTCTTCTCCATGAAACTTCAAGCATCTGCCATAGGTAATGACATTCTTACATGGTATAGGTCTTACCTCTGATAGACAGCAGCTGGTGGATGTGGCTGGTACTCATTCTACTACTGCTTAGAATTACCTATGATGTCCCCCTGATGTTCATTTTATGTCATCTTTTATGTCTAATATATGTCAATGACATGTCTGCAACCCTAAGCAATAAGCTTTTATTATATGCTGATGACTCATGTATCCTTGTATCTGGTAAAATAAATCTAAAGAAATTCTCTCTTATGGCATGAGTCTTATAAGATTGGTTAATTGAATATAAATTGTCTTTGCATCTTGGCAAGACAGAGTCTATTCTTTTTGGTTTAAGTTTTAACTTAAACTGGGCCTAGCCTCCAGGTCACATGTAATGGTACTGCTATAAAGTACACATCTTTTGTTAAGTATTTAGGTGCAAGACTTGATCAATTTTGTTTGGCGTCGCCTTTGATGCTTTGCATCAATGCTTTTCTTGTTGGATATTTAAGATTACTGTAAAGCAAATAATTTCTATACCGCTATTGTATTCACTAACCTTCCTGTATATGTTTGGTCTCTCATAAATGTCAATAAACTCGTACATTTGCATTGAAGTTGACAAAGGGTGTTGTACTGTGGACGAGTTTGTATGCCGCACTATTGAATAGGCTGCATAAATTTCTTTAAAGGCACATTATGCCTTAAAATCGAATAAAGTTTACTTCCTTAGAAAGGGCAAGCATTGGTTTTGTAACATTTAAATAACGGTTTTACAGCAGGTTAGATGCTTGTTACCTGAAGGAAGTAGTGCTTAATGTGAAATTATTCGTCATAATAGCAAATTAGTATTTTGACTTCCATACAAAATACTTAACGACTGTAAATTGTACTAATTCCCAGAAAGTAACAGAAGCAAATATGATTCAGTTAATTGGCCATTGAGTATCATTGGAAACTATAAAAGTACACCAAAAAATGGAAAGCTTTTGAGAAATAGAAAGAAAATAATATCTGGAACATAATGGGCCATATTGAATTGTGTCACGATCAATGAAACGTGGAAGAAATTACAAACAAGTATTCTGTATTTGAACATTTAAAGTGAAACATGTAGTAATATATTAAATTCTCTATATAGTGTCTATATAGTGTCTATACAGTGTGTATATAAACAGGCGTTGACGACTTACTAAACGCCACTCATGTGCACTTGTCAGATTTGACGATGATTTATCAGTTATATTTTTGTATAATGCACGAAAGCTTTAATGTCGTAACCGTACGTTACGGATTATATAACATCTATGGGGTTAGCATTATTAATTATAAATACATGTTAAAAGTAAACCCAAGAAAACACAACGGGCACAACTCCCCGTTGGTCAGTATAGATAAGCAACACCGTTGTACGTATTCGAAAACTGTCACTGTCACTCGTAGGTGCAACAATACTTTGAGATATTGTACAGGCCTTGACTTAATTTTGTTCAACATGTAAAGATAAGATGTATATCTATAACAATACAACTATAAGTGAACGTGAATCACAATAATGACAAAGGGAATATTTCACCTTGTTTTTCTAATTTCTTTTCTGCAAGGCACTGAAGGCTTTCTTTTCTTCACTAGTGGACCAAGGCTTGGTAAGTTGAAAATAGACATGCTTTATATATGCATGTATTTTTATAATTACATTTTCAAAGGTATTTAGTTTTTGTTTCACCTAAAGAAATGAGGGAATGAAGTTTGGGTTCGTTCAGAAATTTTCAAATCAGTCGTTGTAAATTAAAGTTTTTAATACACTCTAAGTGATTATTTAAAGATCAGAGAAAAATCCTCGACATAATATCTCCTTAGTCTCGTCGCTATAGACAGCTAGAAAAGAGGCCCTAAAAATAAATTAATTTATTTCACGCATTATTCAATTATTATTTGAGTAAAAAGCTTGTACCTTTTCGCAGCTCAAATTTTGCTCTGTGCTTTTTAATCTATATGACATCCCGAACAATTTCTCACTTCTGAAAACACCACATATATTACTATGAAACAGAAAACATTCATTCTGTATTGTCATCTTCATCAACTTTTGCAGAAAAAACAATGTGGACAAAAGTCGGTATCTACGGTGTCGGGGAATCTCGTCATGGTGCTGCTATGGCAACGCAGATCCCGTGATTTATTCAAAGAATATCATGGGTGTGGGAATGATAGCCGGTCGTAAGCTATATGACTTGATTTTATCTATATCTTTTTAATTTGTTCGACCTTTGAATATCTTTTCATATTATCCGAATGGGTGGTCTTTACTATTTGATATAATCTGCTAGTTTAAAAATCAGCCATAATTACAGTACATGTATATGTATACATAAAAAAGTCTTTTTTTATTAAACCGTCAAATTTGACCAATTTTAAAAGTAATAGATTGTGTTCAATTGATAATATATTCTTTGAGGCCATACACTCGGTAATACTCACTGATACTGAAAGATATGTTTATTTTAAATGTAGAAAAACCGTTTCACGATCGAAAATTTGCGCCCCAATCTTCAGTCTCGTTCCCTATGGTTTGACATGTGTTTAACAAGCAGTTAATACTTGCTTATTGAGTTCGACGATTTTACTGATACTTTTCACATATTTCATTATTGTACAGTCTTGTTTTTAATCTGAGCATTCATGATCGGGTTTTCTATCAATTGTTAATAAACTTATGTTATGTTACACCAATATTACCCCAACAAATGTAAACAAGTGTTGCTGATTCAATTGAAAACAAACTTATTCTGAGTTACTTTGCAATTCTGCATGAAAGATACTTAAAGTAATTTTCCTTCTCTTTTGTCATTAATGGCAAATATCTCAATTTCGTAGATTTTTTTATCACAATGGTTGGTGTATCAATTGTTTCTACCATAAGAACAATAATGAGCTTTATGAGTATGGCCAATCTATAAATTTGATATATCCTTCGATATATACATATCTTACTATTCTCAAGGAAATTCAAAGAGGGTTTACTTCATACAAGTACGCAATACCTTTTATTTGGAAAATGTTTACATAGATAGGAATGTTTACTAAACTTTCTTTGCCGATTTGATGCTTTGCAAATTATTTCACAATGGCTTTACGTTTTTAGTTTTAAACATTTTATAAGAGTTATATACGAATGCACATGTTTTTCTCACGTAGCACCATTTGCATGTTCTGGAGGGAATGTGGCGCTATCAGCCACCTGTATGACCTTACCACAAGCTGTGTCTGCTTCAGCCCTGGAACTGACCACTGAGAGTGGAGCTACAGTTGGTAACATTGATGCAACATCAAATATGGTAGACGACAAGGTTTATATCTATGATGGCAAGTCTGACTCCGTTGTAAACCCTGGTAAATTTATACAAGTATTATTGTCTTTGTCAATCCAAGAAACATGCGCACAAGAATATCTTACTACATATTACTTTTGATTAGCCGAACCCAGGAGGCGACAGTTCGGGCTGCCCTTTTAAGCCTTGAACATTAGCTGTTTCTCCCTGAATACAATAAATCTTCTAAACGAAGTCACCTGAATGGGTTTCCAGTGGCGTTTAAATATATATTTAAATATACTTTCGAAATGATGGATTATTTTGATAGCATCAATACTAAAACATATGTATTGTTATTAAGTCGATGATGCTAGCGAATAACTGTGCTGTTTGTTGTTATTGCTTTGTTTTCAATAATCTCGAGATTTCTCCTTGTTAAAGGATTATTGTCTACATAGCAGCAAATTTTAAATACATAACTGTCACAGGGTGAGAAAAATGTGCAGCCTGACCGGCACTCGAACTCAGAATAACGTTCCGCTGCTCTACAAACTGAGCTATCCGGCCGCTCCTAAATTGTGAACAGTTCTGAACCGTAAACTATTATTTGTCAATAATTTGAGCGTTCCTTGTTTTGTTATAAAGATTGTGGATAAGAATACGAATGAAATACATGGATAGAATAAATTTTGATGATTTTTTCTCCCGAGCAAATACTGGTAAATTTTATACGTATCAATAACACCAAAGGTGTATGTATGAGTAAAAATGTGATGTTTTTTGCATATAGGGATTGGACGTGTCAATCAAGCTTTTTATGAACACTTTGTCCATGACAGAAACGATGTTAAACTGGTGCTTGATATTAATTCTGAACATTGCATGGTATGAAAATAGAACTTAACACTTTATAATCACTTATATAGATAGATAGATACAAATATAAGAATTTATAGTTGCCCCTTTGAGTACCATGGTACATATTTTTTTCTAACAAATTATAAAGATGAAAAATCTCTTTCTTTCTTCAACATATTTTACCGATGTTATAACTATTTTATGCTCTTGAAAGTTTAATACATGTGGCTATCAAAATTTATTTCAATTATCAAAGACAAAAACATTTAGGGCAGTCAGCAATGTTAATAGGTAGCGCTTTGTTTGCAAATAAGCACACCTTCATTATCCCACGGTGTCAACGGGGACGCCGTAGCAGCATGGAATACTATACAAGTAACCCACATTGAACGTGTTCAGAATATAAAAAGCGTTTTTTTTATCAAAGTAGAATGTGTTATTCATGTAATATTGAAAAGTATAACAAAACAACTGGTGATATGAAATTACTGAAAAATGTAATAATTGTTTTTCTGTATCAGCCGACAGTTAACTACGGTGGCACGTGCGACCAACCAGCGACCCCAACTTATTTATGTAACTGCAACTACTCGGCTGCTTTCGACTTGTTAAATCATATCTATGGTGGAAATTTGAAGGTACCTAATATAGAATGTGGTATATTCTACTGATACTTGACTTATGTAACTATTTTATTATAACAAGGTAAACTAAATGTATTGAGTTTTATCTATCAAAACACTAACTAATATGTTACTCTTCAATCTTTGTCTATTTTCGTGAATTACAGTCGAGATTTTGTAAGCTATTGAGTCAATTTAATTGTAGAAAAGACAATTTTCAAACAAGTGTCATTTTCTTATTTATTACTTTCCTATCTATGTAGTGGCTAAGTAAATGTTTGATTTGAGTTTTTGCCTCTTGTAGATGCCATCAGGTCAGGCGCAGGCGAATGGAAAGGTAAAAAGTTTTGTTGCATTTTGACGAAATAAATGTTGACATCAATGTTCACTTATTCACATTTAAAAGTGTATATTACATTAATAAATTTACAATCGCAAACTTGTAATATGTTATATTGCACATGGATGTTTTGCAGAATACTTTAAATTGGCTATGCAGCATTTACCCAGCATTCTAAAGAACACTTCACCTCGTTACTATAACGGAAATTAGTAATATCCTGTTGAAACTGACTTGCATACACAGTGAATATATTGTTAAAAATAAATTTCCGTTTGTGTCTTATGATACCTTTACTAATGTTGCACTCAGTTTTAGGGATTACGTATTTCGCATTTTAAATCTTAATCGGTTATTTTTAACGGTACTAACGTTTAGGTTACACCAAATGGTGCACTGTAACGACGGACTTTGGGATCAAACGCACTTTAGGGCCCGACCCCAGAGTGCGTTACGTACTTTGGGGTCTAAGTTTGACACAAAGTGCGTTAAACAGGTACATATGCATTTTTTAACATCAGACAAGCGACCGCACTTTGGGGTCATAAAAATTCAATCAATAAAATGAATTCTCATGATGTTTCAAATAATATATTGTAGTCAAAACCAATGGTAAACAAAAATCAAGGTATTGAATAGAGGCAAAACATGTGTCCTGAATTATAGTAGAATCAAGAGGGATTTAGAGGGATCAAGAGTGAAGAACTTTCATCAAATAAAGAATTTGTATCAATTAATAAGCTCAAAATATTTTTTTTCTCACATTTTCCATTTATTTCAAAAGAATGTACACCTTTCATTAACTCCATTGTTTTTAGCTAATTGCATCATTTTCCCGTTTACTTTAATTTATACATTTTATAGAAATATAAATAGTCTTAGCATAGACAAAGGTATAAATTCTGGGAAATCTTAATAAGACGTTTCAGTAAAAGTTGTGCCTGATTATATGTTGAAATGGTCATTTATTTAGCTTATCTAAATGTGACATTTAAGAAACTAGACTAGGTGTAGATCCGGCCTTAAGTAGTAGTCCACACAGACAGTACATAAAAATATCATAAACTATTTAAGTAGTCACAATTCATAATGAAAGGGCTGCAAGCTCTGTGGCAACTAAATCGTACTGTATATCTGTATCTATTTTCCTGTATAAGTTTTTTTATATACTATAATTCATCTTGCAGGGCACCGAGATGCAGCGACTGCGTTTAGAATTTTTACTGTAACAGTTTGAGTTTGATACATACGGAATTTTGCATGACCAGAGTTACATCAAAAATCATTTATGTTCATTTTTATGACAGCCACACTTTATCCTTGCATATCGTGGCTTAAAAAAGACACTTTAAAAATAGTTGTCTCGACTGGGATTTGAAACCCCAGACCTCTCGCACCTCGGACGCGCACGTTACCCCTGCACAAACGGGGAAGTAATACGAAGAAAACTGAATAAACTCAAATAATTTCTATAGAATTTTAGGGTTTGTAATCCTTATTAATTTCTAGGTATTTTGTTCACGATAAACCTGTTGTTTAACACTGATGTAAATAATTTAGCAAAAATCTTCTCGCCGAACAGTCTGACATGTATATATGAATGTAATAATGAACAATTAGACATAGTTAATGATTTCAACTATTTAGGAGTAGTTTTAAATTATACGGGTTCATTTGTTTTACATAATCAATATATTATTGGAAAAAGCCATAAAAGCATGTAACGTTCTACAAAATAATATTAATAAGGTAGAATTATCACCATATATTTCTTTACAATTATTTGATTCTTTTGTTGGCTCTATTCTGAATTATGCATGTCCTGTATGGGGATTTTTCTAAGTCAAAAGATATTGAAAGTGTACATCTCAAATTTTGCAAATATATTTTAGGCGTTAAGAAAAGTTCCAGCAATAGTGCTGTATACGGAGAATTAGGAAGATACCCTTTATATATAAACAGATAATGTTCAAAATGATAAAATATTAGTTGAAAATTTGAAATACAAATAATTATTTTTTAAATACGATAAATATAATAACTCATTAAAACAATGTTTAAATGGTGTCAAAAATTGGTCATACAATGTTAAACTAATATTAGAAAATTATGGTTTTGCAGATGTATTTTTTTGAAACCAAATGAAATAAATATAAATGCATTTTTGGTACTTTTAAACAAAGAGTTTTGGATTGCTTTAAAAAAAAATGGCAAAGCAGATTTAAACAATAACAG